GACAGACACAGGCAGACAGATGGGCAGAGAGACAGACAGGCAGACAGACAGGCAGGCAGATGGGCAGAGAGACAGACAGACAGGCAGGCATGTAGACAGACAAACAGAAAGACAGGTAGAGACACAGACAGTCAGGCAAACAGACAGGCAGAAACAGGGACAGGCACAGACATAGACAGGCATAGACATACAGTAGACAGACAGGCAGCCAGACCACCGTACGGAATATACACACATTCACATAGTAATAAAGGGACCATACATAATAAACGACAATTAACTATAAATGTGCAAAGTATGTTAGCATCCATCAAGCGTTAGCATCCATCAGAGGTTTAAGACCCCTGGAGCAGGAGGTCAGCTTGATCCATGAACCCAGACAGGACCACAGTGTGACCCGATCCAAAAGGCCTTCCATGCTGAAGGAGTGGCACTGGTTATGGCATTTAATCAAGTTTATGCACAATTAATGACATTTAATAATTCATCCCATGTGCTATTGCATTTCATATTAACTGTATTAACTGTATTACTGTAACTACAACACTGAAACCATAGGAAACAATAAACAAATTAACCACAAAGACAACTTAACCTGGACTGACAGAAAATACAGTATGTCAAAAACAAAGTGGAGATACGGTTTTCATTGAAGCAAAGCCTTTTGGAAATTACTAGAAATTATGGCTAAATCCAGACCCTAAATAGCAAATAAAAAAGTTAATTATCTCCTCATTAAGACCCAGCTCCTGTTCATTTTTTTCCTCTAATATTAATCATACTAACGAGACCCAGGCTGAGAAGGAACTTCATAAAAAGGCAATAAAAAAAGTTTAAACGAGCACAGTGGAGCCGGTGAGAGCGGGTCTGCGGACGGCGATGTGGACAGAAGGAGATGCACGGATCGGCACGGTAAGGAGTGAAAGCTGAGCTGAACCATCAGTGTCTGTAATCACTTGGAGCAGGGGGTCCATGTCGGTTTGGAGAGCCAGTTCAGGCATTGTCCATTTGCAGCAATACACAACATTACAGTCCCTCACTGCTCTCCCAACTTCTCAGTCACTTACGTAATTGCACTGCAGGGGGTCATGTGCAGCTTAGCGGGTTAGTTCCGTGATCGGAAGGTCGCTGGTTCAAACCCTGTGGTCAGCAGAATGATATCACTGTTGGGTCCTTTTAACCCTGGTTTCTGCAGGGACCGTCTGACACGTCACCAAAGATTCCTCAAAGATGCGAAAGAAACGCAGATGCCCGACCTTCATAAAATCATAAAAGGCCTTTCCCACCACAGATGAAATACACAAAATACAACAATGCTTCAAAGGAAGTTCTAGGCACATGAAATGCCTTTTAAAACACCAGATACATTAGGGGCTCACTATCCTGCTTTTGACAAAAGCTACCTGTAACATCACTGGCTGAACGTTAACCTTGAAGGCTATGAACCACCTCCAACAGTGAGGATGGCCAACACAAGGTGGCCCTGCAGATTCATTGCCCCTGTTACTGCCCCTAGTTCCATCTGTTAAGAGAAATTCAGTGGATCTCGCTGATAATGACCGAACGCTGGCTCTGATTGCACTGCATCAGTGGAACATGCAAAGAACAATAGATACGTAGCGTAAAAGAGTGGATATAAGGAGCTCGTTTCAAATCCCTCAAATCAAGCGATGCATTTATGGCTGGCAGAGAGCTCAGACTTAACTGAGAAAAAGCTCACGTTTCTCTCATTATCCCTTAAAGTGTCATTAATCAGTACTAATTTCTGAACTATTACCTCAAAAAAAATCTGAAAAAAAGCGGAAGGAAACAGCAGAATGAGAGGGGGGGAGGGCAGCAGAAGAACGTATGCAGTGAAAGGGGGGGAACAGCAGGAGAACGTATGCAGTGAAAGTGGGGGGAACAGCAAGAGAACGTATGCAGCGAAAGTGGGGGAACAGCATGAGAACGTATGCAGCGAAAGGGGGGGAAGAGCAGGAGAACGTATGCAGTGAAAGGGGGGGAACAGAATGAGAACATATGCAGCGAAAGTGGGGGAACAGCATGAGAACATATGCAGCGAAAGTGGGGGAACAGCATGAGAACATATGCAGCGAAAGTGGGGGAACAGCATGAGAACATATGCAGCTAATCATATCTTAACGTGCAGCTTCACAGACGACATATGAACCTTGAAATCCTCCTAATGCAAGACGGGGCCGATGTATTATCAGAATAGACTATTGAAGAAATAATAATAACTCTCGTTTCTGAACTATCAGACCTGACAATCACTGCTAGTCTTCCAAAATCACCCCAAGTAACGATCAATGCAAATTCATTAAGGGCCAAACATAAAGAACAGAGAAAAAAAAATCATTATGCGTCATGACGTCAAATGCAGAATTTCCCTAAGTTCACGTCCAAGTCCTATTTAACGCACAAGGTGAACTTTGCGTTCAATCCAAAGATGCACACCAGCATGAACTTAACAAAACTACTACTAAAACGACAGTTTTTACTGCACAGTCCATCTGTCAGGGAGACCCAGTCAACAACATGCCACCAGACATTCAAAACTGCCCACCAAAACCATCAATATACATCTTAGATATGTATCACTCTGCAGCAGAAGGTTAGACAGCAGCTTTCCAGCCCAACGTGATGCAGGGTGTTGTTGCATTACCTGTGCAGAAATAAGCCCCCCCCCACCCCAAGGGGCATTAACACCAGCGCGTCATGGGGTACAATATCTCTGAAGGAAAACAGTTCAAGGGCATGCGAGTCCATGATGTTCTGACAGGCACTTGGATTAGTGAGAAATCTGAGGTCCGACTTCCATGATGCGCCGTCTCCATGACACGTCATGACCTCGGCAACAGGGTGGTAAAGATAAAGAGTGAGGATGACTGAGAGAAGAGAGGGTCACACGTGACGGGAGGGACCCAAACACATGCTGTGTTACTGTTCCAAGGAGAAACACCAGGGCACCTTAAGCATTTATGTTAATGAGGGGGTTTTACCCAGAATGCACCTTGCAGGCAAGAACAATTTAAAATCATCCTTACTAATGAAACCACAAAAATTATGATCCTTCAATTTAAATTTTTGATTTCTTGATGAGAGTACCTCACATAAAGACGAAAAAAAAAGATACCTTAGAATAATGTCATTTTGGGAATGCAACAAATAAACAACAGCAACCCTTGGTTATGCTAATGTGCTGCACACTGGTGGCTTTTAAGTTCTTTTTCAAAGCAAATATGTTCTTACTGATAATACTGAAGTTAATCAAAACCTGATAAAAACCTGTGCCTTCTCTGCCCCCTGCAGGCTATACAGAGCACTGCACTACATCTTGCAGGTTTCACCTGTTGGTCTCCTCTAGAAGCCAAGCGTCAGCAGAGCCCTCGCCCCCCCCCCTCACCTCCACATCCCGGTGAAGCTGTACATGGTGCTGACACAGCGGGGCAGTGGGGGCGGCTCCAGTCCATCCAGCCGGGCCAGCAGGGCGGGCAGACCGAACAGCACCAGGTATTTCACGTAGAAGAACTGGACCAGCGCCAGGGCCAGACCACCTGTGAGGCAAGAGAGGGCCCCATTACCCAGTGACCTGGTACAGAAAAACATCTGCACCCCTCCACTGGGGGGCACCATAAACATGTAAACATGGTAGAATCCCCTCAGTCACTACAGGTCACACATGCGTCATGCTACTTATAGCGCTTAGGCCATGGCAATCAGCCAGTGTCACCGCTAAACAATCCGGCAAAGTCATTCATCATGTTAAGGATGTTAAGGATGAGCACCCCCTGGTGGTGGAGGCCTGAACAGTGTCATGCCTCGCAAGGCCTCTGATATCACACAGCAAGCCGTGTTTAACTGGGACGGGGCAAGGAGGTCAGACGATGGGGGCTCTGAACTCCAGGCCAGCGGTACAAACGATGTCAGAGACGGGAAGAGCCAAAGGTCCCGTTAGAAGGAAAGACACCTCCAGAGCTGCTGGGCTTTCGGTGCCGCTGTTCACTACACCGAGAGCGCAAGCCACACACCAGCAACCTGCTGCTGGGACCACTGATGATCTGAGTGTCAGGCTGGTTTTGGAGGCTGTGGTCATGTGGTCCACCTGCTTCACTTAGTCACCAAATGTTTGCATTTCACATCCACAGTCTAAATCAGTGATTATGCACCAATGCCATTTGACTCAGACGTGGGTGATAAAATCAATGTTAGACAAGTAACTAAAAAGAAAAGAAGCGTACAGACTGGCTCCCAGGTCTGGATCATTTACGGCGGTGTTTGTCAAGACAGTCCTCCCGCACCCCCCCCTCGACAGCCCACATTTCTGCTACCTTCCATTTGACATGTTAATACATTTATCTGACACTTTTGACCAAAGCAACTTACAGTAAAATGGTTACAATTTGTTTGCACTCCCTGGGATTTGAACCTATGACCTTTGTGTTAGTGCAACACTCGACTTGTTGAGTCAGAGGAGCTACCAGCTCGCAGCACCTGGGAGCTATAGCGAAAACATGGAGTGGCGGGGGTGGGGGGGGCATGAGGACTGGGCTGAGAAACACTGAAGTACAGGACGTGTGTCACAAACGACTCAAGGTATGGATGGAGATGTTTCATTGTCCGAAAGAGACGGAGCAGACTGCCGTGATATTTCCAAGCCGCATTTGAAACGCTGCACATCAGCAGGGGGTTGGAGGCTCCTGCTGTCTGCCGCCTCCCACGCCTAAACCCCCCCCCCCCCCCCAAAGAATAGCACAGCAGAAGTAGCCGCCCCTCCTGACTCAGGGCTCATTTGCATTTAAATGGCCCCTGGCCCAGGAGAACACGGATCACCTGTACAGAGCACGCTTGCTTTTTGCAAACACTGCGTACCACATTCTTACATGTCCATCCCCCCCCCCCACACCTATCATTTCTGACAAGTACTTTAAACCAGAAAACGACTGCATTATACAGGGACATATCTACTGACACATTCTATAATTAGAATCAAACATTCATGTTGCCGAATATGCCACTTCAAACTGAGTGGTGTAATTTATTACAGTTATTACGGCAAGTCATGACTTACGGACTCCATGACCCAAACCAGCTGACCCAGGCGACGGCAGTGTGAGGTCGTGCTGCGATTTGCTTGAGCCGAATTTCAATGGCTGAGAGGTGAGAGGCTAGCCGGGCATAAACAGGGATTTCCGCAATCTGGATTTAATGCCCATCTCCAAGGCAGCAAGGGGCAGAATCCTGGTTAAAATGCAGCCACCATCTGCCGAGGAGGGTGGGATACAAAGAGAGGAGAATTGAGGCTTTGTAGCTCATAGCAGGTGGGATTATGGGGCGCGGACGGTCAGCACTGACTGGCACTTATGACTGACAGGCTTGTCCGTTCTTTTCTGGCAGAGGACGCCACAGGACACCCTTGGGGAGAAGTAAGACATTGTCGCAGGTTCCAGTATCACGCACACGCTCTAAAGTACGATTTCATACGATCAGAAGGCAGAAAACAGCCTCTCTCAAATTACCTCAGGGAGTAGCGCTTAAACCTCAGCTTATAAAGAACAAAATATTCCAAGGACCTTGCAGTTCTGTGACGCAGGTGCTGACAGAAGTTCAATAGTAAATTGGCCCTTCAGATGCACCTTCTGCCAGAGCATTTCCCATAATGCAAAGCGAGAGAGATGCATCTGTTTCTCCAGTGGCTGAATTCTCTAGAGAACACATTCATAAGAACGCTCAGCACCTCAGAAACAGTCCGGCCGCACTACCACGCCTCCTCCTGGAAGTTTCTTTTCTGATCTTACAGATCAAACAAGTAGAGGGTCAGAATTTTCCCTTCAATGAGAGTCAGAATAGAAAAGTTAGATGACAAAGTTGGAAACTAAACTAGTTAAGATTACACACTGCACTTTTGGAGAAATGGCTAGTATAGAAAATGAAAAATCTAAAGTCAACAAAACATACTGGCGCCCATTACAAAACATGCTTGTTGACGGAATATAACACTCAGAAAACAAAAAGCAGTCAGAGTGAATTTCAAAGCAGTTTGAGGCAGCTGCCTGCCGCCTAGACACAATGCGAATAATTATCACTTTCTGATCTGAATGATCCAGCATCTGATGCCTGTTTCTCACGCAGCAGATGGTCCGGCCTCTGCTTTGGTACCAAAGCGATCGACGGGGTCAGAGTTCCCTAACAGTACGGGAGGCGTCTGAGCACCTCACATAAGCTACCAGTGGAACCACACCAAGATGGAGGTCTGGATCGATGTACTTCTCCCTTGTACGTGTTGCCTGCATGTCTGGACTAATTACAGGAAGCCAAGGCGAGTGCAGTATAATAAGCTGAGAGAACGGGTCTAAAAAGACTGCAGCACCAAATGAAAGCTGCTTTCTGGGTTACACTGGGAAGGAAACTCCGCGTGATCAAAGGCTTCAAGCTGAAATCCCTCAAGGGGACGGATGTTGTACCATCGAGACGGTATCTTCAGAACATTCAGGAAATACACCGTGGCAATTAGAAAAGCATAGTGGGACTCCAGGAGATTCTCACCCAAGGCCCATGGGGGTAGTATCTGCAGATAGGTCTCGTTGTTCTGGATGGCGTGCATGTACATGAGGTGGACCAAGGTCTCAGCCAGAAGCCACCAGGCTAGGATCCGGCCAGCGCTACGGAGCAGGGGGAGGAGGCCCAGCTTCGGGCTGGTGTCACCGCCGCTGGTGCCCTGCATCTGGAACCAGAAGGAAAGCAGGTCACCGATCTGGCCGGGTTCAGAGTCTCATAGGTGATACAGCAGGAGATCAACGCAGGAGGGAATGATGGATGAAGCAGCAGCGCCCCCCCAGTATGTCACTGAGATGGCAAACGGATATTCTCTGGTCCTGAGAGGCAGGGTGAAGTTGCAGTGCTGTGATTGGCTGACATTTCACAGACGCAGGAGGCACAGATTTGGGTAGCCGGTCCTCTCTGCCGGATCCGTGCCTCCCAGCTCCCCACGTCATCCCCAAAAGAGGGCGCGCCTCTGCTTCACTCACACCCCGATCCTCCTTCCATGCTGCTCTGCATCCCACACCTCGCCGAACACGCTAACGTGGGACCCGTGACCGTGTTTTGGGGTACAGCTGATACATGCAGGAATCTAGAGGCAGAGCTGAACTCACTATCATCCAAAGTGCAAAAACCGACTCAAGAACATTAGTGAACAGCTTTAATCTCCGCTGGCTGAGAGCAGACAAAGGCACGTTGGATCACATCACCTGACAAAGATCAAAAACTGAATCTTTAACTCTTATTAGGTTGTTTTTTGAGCCTGACTAATCATTTATGACTAATTATCTTACTGAACTCCAGCTAGGGAAAAATACATATAAACCCCAAAACACAAGCACCCTGAGAAAGAGCGATATCAGTAAAATGAGGTATAATTCATAAAACAAAGTGTTTCTGACTACTGGCTGATTATCCTCAGAGACTGCTGACAGGCTGCAGTCCCGACAGATCGTGAAGGCAGCCCCTTTCCTAAAAGTCACTCGGCTGGTCTCTGACCCGCGGGCCGGGCTCCCTCTCTGATAGGCAGAATGACACGAGCAGCGATTAAAAAGCCCAGCGAGTCGCTCGACTGTGGGATTTAATGAGCTGGGATCCGTCTGGGACACACAAATGGGCCCTTCAGAACAGAACCGCGAGCGGGAGATGCGACGGGGCACTCGGCAAGGGAGACTGACGTCAGCACCGACTGATGGAACCGTTCGCGGTAACCATGGAGACCAAGACGTCCATACAAAACTGCTGGACCAACATTTCAATCGCATTTTGCCTAACTATCTTTGATAAGATTAGCTGAATGCTAACATTACCATCTTAACCCTGGACCTGTAGCCATTAACCAGCTAGTAGCTATTAACTACGTGAGATCAGCCCCCCAAATACAGAAACGTAACACTCTGAACTGGCTGCTAGGGTGCTGGGGTTACCATAGTAACCAACTTCTGAAGAATACTGGTAGCCGGCCGGCTCCCCATCGCCAAAGCCACCTGAGTGTCTCCACCTGTGAAATTGCATAATTTCAGACAGTGTGTTCCGCGTTCCAGGCTCCGTGGTACGCAAGATGCCATTTTAAGGACGAGGGAACCAATTACACGACAGAGACTTTAAATCTAAATGGATAAGCATCTGAAATGGAGGTGAACGCAGCAGGAGCACGGGAAAGGGACTTCGGGGACAGAGGATCTCATGGCAACCATAATACCCACAATCCACCTCTGCTGCAAGAGCCAGTTACCCGAAACCACAGAGTGAGCAAAGGTGGGGAGAAATAAAAGCTATAACATATTTATGCGAGAAACACACTAAAATATTGCCAATCCAATGCAAGAAACTTAATGTCACAAAAACAGGCATCTCAGAGACATGGGGGCCGCGGGCTGCAGCTAAACGGAAGACGATGCGATGCCAGTTGAACATTTCAGCGGTGCGACTAATTAGGTACACGCCATAAAACGGCCAGATTACACATGAGCAGCCATGGATGGGAGGCACCGGCGTCTCTGGGTCTGCCGAGAGACCGTTTGGTCCAACAGCGAACCGCAAAGCAAAGCGGCTAATCTGCTAACGCCTCTCCCCTGCTACTCCTCATTAGGCACAACTTTAATTAGCGCCTCGTCAATAACTGTCAGTGCTGACAGACAAACATGATTAACACTTAATTTACTCCAGTGATTCGATCCTCGTGTGATACACGCTTCTTCCTGCACATGGGAATTGCATCAGTAACGTTTTGTTAATAAAAGGAGAGAGATGACTTGAAGATAGCAGACCACCAAGATGGTGAGGCAATTCATTCTTCAGATTACATCAACATCTGTTAAGTGTCCTGCACCCCCCCCCCCCCAACACACACAAACTACAAATCCCTCAGCTAACCACTGTCCACCAGAAAAGGGGTGTATTTATCGCTCTGGCAACTCCAAACTGGACTTGCGAGTAGGAACTTACGTGCTGGCTGAAATCCTGGAAACTGATGATGGGTCCATTGTAGAACAGGGGGTGGTAGAAGGTGTAAGCGGTCAGCCAGAAGAAGTCTGAGGGCCTCCCCACCACTAGGGGGCGACAACAGTGGTCCAAGCTGTAGCTGATGGAGCGGAGGCTGCAGACTGCCACGCTGAAAAGCAGAAGGTAGTACTCCGCCTCCGTCTCATACCAGCCTCTCTGCAGGGACGAAGTACAAAACTAACAATTTAGCATAAATGCTAAAGTTTCATTTAGAGAGATAATGACATTTCACGGGCCAATGCAAACATAGACACCTACACATAACCACAGTGAATATGACAAATTCTCCCTTCACAAGTTCTCAAAGCTTTGAATATCCCTCAGCACATCAGAGCTTTGACGAGAGGCTTTGAACTTTAGATATTAGCTTGGACGATCATGAGTCACTTAAGCGGAGAGAATAATGCGATGCAGCCTAGTCACATGTCCATTAAAATGAAGCAGATCTTAAGGGAATAAGATCCCTGGCAGCTGAAAAATAGCTGTACATTAGGAAGGGGGGGTAAGAGGACCAGCAGAGCTTGAGAGGACAAAGGGGTTATCAACAGTTTCTTGGAGAATTTAAATTAATTGATATTCAGCAGAGGCTAATTAATTAATATTCATATTTGGCTTTTTTTGTCAAAATAGGCTTACAAGGTTAAGGGAACACATTTGGGGGCATTGTAAGTACAATCAGTAAGTGTAGCCCTGGTTCGCAGTGTTAAAGGGGTATTACATTATAACAAGGTAAAAGATACGGGGCAATACATGCCCGAGTGCTCAAAGGGTAACCAGCACGTCACGCGTGCAAGGCAGTTGTGCACTGAAAGCTCACACACACACCAGGCAGGATTCAAGAAACGCCTTCAAAACAATGGTGGCTGAATCTCCATCCCATTAAGAAGGAAAGAAGCCAAACAATGACCTCAAGGGCCAGACAACCACTTGGACCACGATCTACATTCTAGAGTCATTGACTTATGTAATGTATGTGCTACTGTCCAATAATTTTAGTAAGACAACACGATAGATATGTTAATTGTCCCTTAAGAGAGTCAGCCCTACGGAGTGACTCACTTGTTCCTCACAGAGGTGCATCAGCATTGGAGTTACTTCGACGTCACTCATTCTACAGGGAAATTTCTGAATGCCATGATGTTCCGTGTTGTTCTCTCTCTGCCGTTTTCCCTGACATCCAAAGAGGACGGATCTGCCATCGCCGGCTTTTTGGACACCCTGAATGCCCGAGGCCTTACTAAAGGCAGAGTTTGGCCCATGATCACCTCTTCATTCCTTCATTCCTTTTCATCTTTCTTTGTTAGCAGGCGTTGCCAGGAGCAACATACCTCTTCCCCCTCCGACACTCCATCTGGAGCGCTCCTCGATGATGCGATGGTGCGGGGGGAGGGGGGGACCAATCCCCTACACACGGCCCAAGCGATATATCTGGAAATGGGACTGCGCAATCGACCACCTGAGACTACCCCCCAACCCCCCATTTTAATTAAGCATCCACCCTCAAGTGGTTCCAAAACCACTCTCACTAGCGCGGACCAGGCAGAGAAAAATGGGCGCAAACAAGTCGAAGTCACACGGCAGAACATAGCAAATGTATTTTCTAAGATACGCCGTTTATGCCACAGCACCAGGTGCTATTTTTACTCCCAGACCCAAAATTACCATATACCTAAAAATAACAGGAAATATTCAGAGCTAAATTACACCAAATTGCAAAGATACTACAAAGTCTTTTTATGTCTTAATGGGAATTTCAGTTGTGTGTGTTCCTGCAATTATTTAATAGGAAGACCACATCCACCACAGCCAGTTCTCAATTCCAATACAGAAATAAAGCAGGGAGACATCTTTGCACTTCACCGTGAAGCGACCAATGAATAAATGACTAAAGGGATTAAAGACATTTCCACAGGCGGAGAAATAAAGCAAAGCCAACTTCAGAGCTTCAAGGCGGCTGTGTCCCTGGCTGTTCTCCAACGGGGGACTCTGAGTGGTCACATTCAGAGGAATGCAGATCTGAGCGGAAAAAAAAACCTCGTTCTTCAAATGTCACACGTGCTCAAGAGACACAGGAACCGGTGACTGAAATGGGACAATGTTTTACTGGCCCTTTTATCGGCAATCCAGAAAATGTACAGACGCACACTAGGACAGCCCAGCAAAGACACCACAGGGGAGCCAAAGCCCCCCTGTTATTCTTTCTTACATATCATTAACTTGCTTTATACCCTCAATAAGAAATTACAGGTAACAGCTGCACTGGAGATGACAAGACAGTCAATACAGAGGAGACACCGTGCTTGATGACATCATAGTCCTTCTGATGACATCATAGTCCTTCTGATGACATCATAGTATCACAAAAGGTGTATGCCTTTAACCATTAGGCTTTTTGCCATCTAAGACGAGGTAGACGACACCTTGGGCTAGAGACAAAACAATAAAATAAAAACAGCCACTATGCTTCCTAAAAACGATATGTTTAACAGGCACTAACAACTTTGTTTCACTGCATCATGGTACCATCAACCCTGTGCAGTAGAACAATCTCCACCTTGTGTGTTTTCATTAGAGCACAGCAGGTTCAATCAGGAGGTGTAGCCCTGCTCAGTAATTAAACCCACGACATTTTTTTATTTCACCAAAAATAATAACACCCAGGAGAGTCCCTGACCCAGCGATTCTCACAGGATGTATGTTTTCCATTCAGCTCCGAGAAGAAGAAATGACAGTTCATTCATTTCTTTTATTGAATTTGGGTTTGGGGTTCACCTAAGCAGGAGGAAGACAGAATCTCTGCCTGGTTTTTAAGACAAGCATGACCTCCAGTAGCGGCAAATACCATGAAGACGTTTTCAATAAAAAGACAGAAAGAGATACACAAAGCACCCTCAGGTCTAGCAGAGTTTCCCTCTTGTGTTTGTTCCACACAGACCATAATAATATTCAGCAGCATACTTGAAGAATTGGATTTGTACCCAGAAGACAGTGTAGATCTCAGAAATGGCTTTGTGGAGATGCAAGCCAATTAACCTGAGTGACCTTAGTAAACATCCATCTGCAAATAGCATGTCAAGCTCACCATCTGAGAAGATGCTGTACAATAAGCTCCGCTGCATAATTTAACTTCTGTTTACTGATTTTCACCATTGTTTTCTAGATCAGTCACATCTTCCGACACACGACAACCTTATGCACAACAGACACACCACACCCTTGGCCACCCCCCCCCTCCCAGTACCACATCCTTGACCACATCCACTCAAACACACCAACCGTGGACCACACCCCCAAACATACCACTCCCTTGTGGACGTTCCCCTCAAACACATCACACCCTCAACCACGCCTCCTCAGACACACCATGACCTTGGTCTTACACATTTATCTAGAGACACGACCACTGTGGTCCAGGGAGACAAGGAGGGGAGCCCAGCCATCCACCCCACCCTGTAACAACCTGCGTGCTAATCTGAATTCTCTGGACCCACAGACAGCTACAGTAATACCCTGGATTCCCAGTGTAGGAAGCCAAGCTCTCCAACTGGTGTCACTGGGGAACCTGAATGAATTATTAATATTAATGCACAACTTCTGAAGCACAAAGCTCTGTCCGAGGAACTTTCCAGGTCCTTTCTCTCTAGAACTCCCCAGGCACCATGCAGATATGGGGTGGAGTGGGGGGGCGTTAACAGACCATTATTTTAGTGCCTCTATATTTCAAAGGAGTAAACCACAACAGCTGCTGAAATAGCCAGCCCCCCCCGGTGTATTTTCAGGTCGTTTCACCTGCACATGGTGGGGGGCTGAGCTGTCACACTTATCTGCTATGCAGCATCCTATTCATGACCTTGTGATTGGTCCCTGTAACAACACATTATGTAATAGCTCGACTAAATGCAACAAATTTTCATTGGAAAATGTGGTGTTATTACATGATGCATTGTTACACACCACTATGCAATAACTTGACAAACTGCAACAAATAAATAGCCTACATTGTAATTTTATATTGCAACATTAACCTATCATCATCACATTGTCTAAAAAAGAGGATCAGTGTGTTTTTGCGATCTATTTCGGGTGACTTCTGCGTCTCTGTGACAGAACAGCAAAAGAAAATAACCTAGAAAATAACAAGTGGATCGGAAAACTCAATTTATGAATGATGTTACGAGGTACCTGAGCTACAAAGGCCGTGGAAAAACACTCATTAATCCACGAATGATCTCAAGTGTGAGACAAATTGCTTAGTGTGATGAAGCTTTCTGGAAACGCAACCCTGAAAAATTTGCTGAAATTTGCCTACATTTATCTTAAAATTAGTCACATTTTGTCAGGTTTTCACATTCTGCGTTGTTACACCGCGTGCGACGATGCATTATGTAATAACACCACATTATGTGACGGAAATGTTTTTAGTGGAATTATTACATAATTCAGCATTTTGACATAATGTGTTGTTACAGCTCTTTTTCAAGGCAGGTCACAGTTTTCTGAACGGCAACAAGGGCTGACAGGTTCACGGTTAAAATCAGATCCATTTGTCCAGCTCACTCTCATTTTCTTGACAGAAGTGCTGTACAGAAGAGTAGTGAGAGACACGTGACCCAGCCTTACCTGCAGCTCCCCCAGGAAGTCCAGGTGTAGTGTGGAGAGCAGCATGAGGGCGCTGGCCCAGCAGAGGGCGGGCTTCCGCAGTTGTGCCACGCTGAAAGACACGGCCATGTGCAGCAGCACCACCGCCAGGCCCCTGATGCCCAGCAAGTGGCAGGCTGCCACCAGGCCATAGGCTGTCAGAACCGCCACCCTGGCCTGTGAGGTGCAGACAGATTCACAGAACAATTAAAAGTTTATTTATCCAAGAACCATCCTGTCACCACGCTGTCCCTCTCGCTGGGGGTCAAAGCCGCTGAGGGCACTCAGGCAGAGCTCAGCTATACATTTCTTATGCTTCTCACCCAAAAGATGAGGCAGGAAAAATGAAATCGTACCCGTGGAGCGAAGAGACCAGACAACCTGGATATAACTGCATGGCCGAGGAAGGACCAGAGCAATGATTTTTTTGCCCATTCGCTCCAGAAACTCCATTCAAAGTCTGTGGGGTCCTACAGATAAAAGAAAAATTATTGTAAGCTCCTTTGTTCTGTAACATTCTCCAAGAATGGATCTGTTTGGCGCGTTAACACCACTGAAATTATGATACTAAATCACAGTTGCATGGGGTAGGCGGGGTAGAGTTTAATCTGCGAGGCATCTAATCTGCTTTGTGTATTTAAAGTAAAAATCTAAGCAAATAAAAGGAATGTGTGGGTGGACGTATTTTTAAGTGGAATTTTGAAACTCTCACTGTAGGACTTTTACCACATACACCAGCCACACACACACGTGCTAATGTTCTATATTTAGCCTGCTTTGCCCTGGATAATTCATCAGAGGGGATCGCAAGCCTCTCACTTCTCCTTTGTGCCCAAACGTGAGCCTCTGCTCATGGTGCCTGAGGCCCTGTGCATTACATCGCATTATTAACTGCGCTACATATGCTGCGATCAACAGTAATTTACATAACTTTTTCAGCCAACTAACATAGCAGCAATTCTCGGTTTGAGGGCCCTGCCTCGGATCAGAATGCACCCTTAAACCCGAGTCCATTAAAGTCAATGCAGTTCATTAATCACTACGCCACCCAGTGGACATCACGGCAGTAGCCAAAGAACATCAAGATTCATCTTTGGATTTTCATTTTAATGCAAATATTCATGCCCACGTCTCCTACCTTTTTGAATCCCCAGATAAGGAATCCTCCCTCCAATTCAAATTCTCGGCCAATTCTTTCTTCATATTCTATGAAGAGAGTAAAAACGCAGGAAAAGTGTTCAGGCAGATAAAATTACACCACTTTGAATGCTGTGTTTTGAAGCTGATAGATGCTGGAATGAATGACAGCCAGAAGAAAACAGTGATTTACATTCCCATAGGTTAGACCAGGGCTATTCAACTCATGGTCCTCAAGGGCCGAGCCCTGCTGGTTTTCCAGCCTTCCTTCCCCTGTGAGCCAGGTGTGAAGCCTCTGACCAATCAGATTCAGTAATTATTAAACTATCTACCTGGTAGAACTGAAAACAAGGCCTGGATTTGGAATCGAGAGCCTGAGTTGAATAGCCCCGGGCTAGACTGTCACTGGATTCAGGGTGTATATAAACAGGGGCAGTGACAGAAGAGGGGCCCACAACCACGTGGTGAGTGGGGATCTCACACCTTTTCAATAACTGCCTGCTTTAAATTATCCATCCATCCACCCATACTCCAAATATTTATCCAGAAATGGCAGGGGGGGCATGAATAGGAGGTGCTTCATCAGCTCAACCTTCCCACCATATGCAGGTGAAGCAAGACCTGAAAACACACCAGGGGCAGGTTGCCCATCCTAGGTAGCCCTAATGGTACAGTACACCATAAACACTATGCCAGTCCATCAGATAGCATACACACTGCAACACTGTATGGGCAACCAGAGATTCACCAACCTGCATGTCTCTGTAGCACAAACGCACCCCACATACACTGTACAATCAGAGCAAGAGTGGGATTCGAACCCGGGAGGTGCCACCATGGTATCAAAAAGCGAACTGACTGGAAGTGGGTTCAAACGGTCAGACTAACAGCGCGTGCTAATGGGCGGCAGGCTCAAGATGAACACCATCTACCCGCCCATCCATCTGCAATACCGCTAAGTCACTTGAGACCATCAATCCAGGAAGAGCAAACCCATGGCGATCAGGGCACAGCCTGGCACAGGCAGCAACACGCTGAGACACACTCAATAAGGCCAGCTAAGCACCATCACTCAGACAGAACAGCACGTTTCAGCACAAACCCAGGGCTGGGTGCAAACGTGCAGACCTGCAGGCTGTGACTGAGCCTCCTGGCACCCCCAGGAGGGGGGGGGGGACGGGGAGCAATGGTGCTGTGCGGGGATTTCAGACTGCATCGCAAAGCACGGCACTGGTGACCTTCTGGATCAAAAAGAACTAAATTACTATCAGAAAATCAATTTGTCCAACAGACAAACCAATTCCCAACAGATGGAGACGCAGTACTGCAAACTCCAAGAAAATGTTTATTTTAAATTATGTATAGTATTTTAACTATGTATTTGGATGATATCAGCTAATGTACACATGAATCCTATCTCACTATCAACCACAATAAACACATACCACATTTTACAATAAGTAGTGGTGAGATACTGACTTTACACATATACTTTAGCAGACCGACAGGAACATAAAGCCTAATATTACTACAAAGAAAATGCTGGATCAAAAAGCATCCAATGAATAATTTGAGGTCTTGCTTTAAACAGAAGTCCTTGTTAACCTCCCATAGTCACCTTACCGCTTCCACAGAAACCACTCCTACACGGTGCCACGTCAGGTCAGAAACGTACCGCACCATCACCTTCCTGCAATCACAGCAGCAGATCCTACAAGACAAGGCCCGGGGCGCGGCCACAGTGCCCCCTAGTGGAGAGAACGGGCGACTTCCGTCAAAACTGCAGCGTCTTTGCAAATCCTCGTTTTCTCAAAGCAGGGTTCGTATAATCCGAGTTGCATCTGGCTAACAGTTACAGCAAGCAGAAAACGTATAAGATAAGGAGTTCATAAATGCAAGAAGACTGAAGAAACAAAATACATCTGTGTCATCTTATACATTGATCTTCGCCATAACAAAAGCGTCTCACTTGCACGTTATCACACATCAACTTATTAATTCAAGCAGAAAATTTACTAACTTAATAAAAATAAACAATCCTAATTCATTCTTTTTTTTGCTGGGGTCCGAGGCCAGTCAGTAAAGTTAGTGACCTGTGTGTTGTGACAACCAGACCAAACTTAATTATACATTTAGGGTGTGGATACCAAGACGGGACGCGTCCTCCTCGGTTCCCTCCTCACGTTTTAGATGGACTTGGTGAGCTACATATGAAAGATATTAATATTACAAGATTTATTGCCCTTGTCTGAGGGGCTTATACAGTAGGAAGAGTAACACAATAATAATGCTGGCGGACGCTTTGGGGCAGTGAATAATGTACTGCATTACAATAGTGGTTTTCATTTCTTTTTTATTTCGGTATTGCCTGAGGTTGTCCGCAAGAAACATCAGTTGGGTCTGCAACTTTGTCGCGATTCCGTGTCGTTGACTATTATTAGGTTTATTAAACCGAATAACAGGGGACTTTGTCAGCTCGCCAACTAGCGCTATTCCCTGCCTGTTAATCGCTTAATTGCTTAAATGATTGAAGTGCTTAGCCCTCCGGGTACAGTGGATCGTGAGTGTCAAACCGCGGCTTCGTGTATTTTAATTTGATATACATGACATTAAAACACAACGGGTGGGGTACTGGAAGCGGTAACTCAGGGGGGTAATTAGGAGAATAAGACCCTGTCGTGCTTGGTCCATTTCATCCACCTTGATTATCAGCAGCTTGTGGACAGACGCTGCACCTGCGGACCAAACCCAATAGCTTACCTTTGGAGAATTTATGCAGCTCGAAAAAGGAGTAAAAATGAGATCCCAGGGACAGCAGCCAGTATAGCGACATTTCCCAGCGCGGCAGAGGCGCGGGAGACGCCGTCCGCTGTGGAGCCATGATAGGAGAGATGTCCCCTCATTCCTGCAGTCACAAAGCGGGGAAGGGGGCCATTTTCTATGTCACTGTTAAATTCATTATAAAACCCAGCGCATTCAATCAGGTCAAATGTTTAAACATGATAATCAATGCATTGTGCTGATGTATTTAAGTACAAACACACACGATGAGCAGCTTCAACTGTGCAATGTTCAGCAATAACATCTGGCAACCCGAACACAGTACTGAATCAGAATAAAGCGGCGTTTAACGACTGCCTTGAATATATGTAAGAAATCGAGAACTCTGCGACTTAAAATGCCGTTATTTGCTGTTCCAAGTGTATGGAGTTGATTTAATGCCGCGGTTTGCGACTCACACGCAGACTAAATGAATCCGGTACTACGAAGCTAGGCAGCCATAGCCACCTCACCGCTTACCGGCGGCTTTCATTACTACCAGCGGCGTCGGCAGGATTTATACAGCGCTTTCGAGGGTTTTGTTTCCCCCAAGTTCATGGAGAGGGGATTTCGCAGGGAAAGCTTAAATAAATACGCTGCATTAAACCGCCTAGCTAGCAAACGCAACGGCACATAAATGGCAGCGCGCACAGAGTAAATGTGTAACTTTCGCCCACTCGGACGTCACATAGTTAATGTCTGCCGAAGCTGTAAACTGCTACAAACTATCAGAAATGCCCGTGTTTGTGCCACAGCCTGGATAAAGCGAGCGCTCTTGCATTTATATGGTTACTTCAGATCCCTACCCCGGCTTTTGGCAACATTTCCTGTGTAATTGACGCCTAAAGTCGGTAGCTGTGATTTGTTTCGCTCCCGGTGCGGACCCGCTTGGATGGGAGCCGCGGCACTTAGGAAGCAGGACGGCGGCCGGCCCCCCACCGCATAGCGACAGGCCGGCCGCGCAGCTCGGTCCGCTGCCGGGGTTCCCTTAAAGGCGCAGGTCGGCGGGTGCCGCCGCTTAATCACCGCGCTCCACATCCAGTTAGAATCGCCAGACCATACATCTCACACAGGCATCTATAGGTTGAGATTTTAAACTGTGACACAGATGTACCATATTGATCGTTTACCACTCCATTAGACTGGATCTACTTTCAGAAATTCAAATCGTAACCAGTTAAGGTCTCCCGGAATGTCCCTGAAGACATGGAAATTGAATCAGTTTTTCACGGTTATTGACTGGGTATTGTTGCAAATGGCATCATACTACAGACAATTCAGAGCCGCCAATTCCTCTAACTGCATATTAGATAGTGGGAAGAAACGTTGGCGGAAGCCAGGGCGAAGCCCAAACGTACTAAGCGACTGGCTGGAATTACCATTCAGTCCAGGGTGTCGCGTGCATGGTCCCCTGTGCCTCTGGGATCACTCTGACCGTGTACTGGATAAATGTGATTTAATCTATAAAAATGACACTGTTGCAGATTTTTCAAATATAAAATTTCAATGCAACAGTCCCCATTGTTGGGAAATATAATGAGATTTTCATTGTCTTTTCCTGATACCAATCTGTATGTTGAACAATAAAAAGGTTCTGTATTTTGATGCTTTGGGTGTCATGGCAACAAGGCAAATCCTATGCTCTGATTGGCTGGGCTCTTCAAACTGCGCTTTCCCAGTTCATGGTAATAACTTCTGAGTACACCCTGCTTTTAACCCCCTCCCCCAGACCCCCCAAAGTTATCCCCCCCCCCCAAGTTCCTTACTGTTCACAGCCACCCAATCATGGGTGACCCTTCTATGGTGAGAGGGGAAAAAAACAAGTTTTTAAGGTTGTATACTGTATGTCAAACACCGTACAATACATAGGCTCATCTGGCATAGACTATAATCTGTTCCTCTTCGTTGAGGGTCTGGATGAATAAGATATCCAATGACACCTTGCAGTGGCCTCTGTGTGTGTCCCTGTTTGGACGCTCTAGTCTCATTACTGTAATTACAACATATAAAAGCCAGCTGTACAAAAACAGACACAAGCTGGAATGGAAATGGCACCAAACGGGAGCTCCAGGAGCAAAACTGAGGAGTCTCTCTAGAGCCTCCCATTGCGTAGAATCCCATGGCCTCAGACTCATGTTTGTCTGGGGAGACACAAGATGCCAACTTAATTCATGTCTCGTCTTGGAGGGAAATTGAATTTCAAAAGAGTTTAGCACCCATACCTTGTCAGAACAGACCTGCTTTGAATATCAACTCTGCATACTTTCTTTGGTGCATAAAAGGCTGAGAATTTCAAAAGTCATTAAATGCTGGATTTCTGATTGATCAAAGGCAAGTTCTTCCCAGGGAGTTTGAATATTTGGCTCTAGAATGGAAAATTCCCGAAGTTACCTCCTTCACACTCTTAAGTAGCCATACAGACTTCAGCTAGTGGTGCTTACACAACACTTGAGGGACCAGTGTGTCCGCTTACGCAAACTCATCTGCACAGACAAAATCTGAGCGGGAGTAGAGGAGAAATCATGCTCAAAATAACCCAGAAATTATCAGCTGACAATGATACAAAACAGAGAAATTGATTCAAACCCAAGTACTTTTTAAAGATGGTTTTTAATTTTTTTTTGGGAGGGATAGGATACTGAATTTAAAAGTGTGAGGTGTTGTGAAGTAGTGATTCAAATATATATGAAGTATTTAAGTACATTAGTAACACCAGGGATGAAGTTTGTGCCATTTTGCCTTTTATAAATAATATTATAATAATATAAATAATATAATTTAATTCTGATTGCATCCAGTATATTAATATAACGTGCAAAAACCTATTATTTGGGATTATAATTAACAAAGAATTTAATACAGTCACTGTTAAGTCAAGTAACATTAATTATGTTATGGTGAGATGTAATTTCCATCTTAAATGATAAATGTTTTCCAGAAAATATTACAATGGTAATGTAATTTTCATTCTGAGTGATAAATGGGGGTTTGATCCATTTTGTCATTATTATACAAAATATCTTTACTCTGTGTATAAATTAAATCAAACCGTATGTATCTCTGAGATCTGACAGTCCGCCACTAATCCGTTTCTGTCACATGTGGTGCGCCCTCGTCTGGTTTCTGTTGGGACTGCGGGGAGTGGCACGAATACTACTTCCAGGCCTATACTGCTGGGTCTGAAAACGAGCACAGGGGGCGTTCGCCCAATGGGAAAAAAGTTGAAGCACGCAAAGGCCACAGTAGCAGTAAATATGCTTATTAAATGTTTCAGACTGATCTTAGAAGACGGGCACCTAGACCTACCTCACCAGATACCTCAGTTCCTCCATTACATTGCATAGTCCACCAGTTACAAAAACCTGTATGGTAAAGCAGGCATTTAGTTTGTTCTTTTATCAAAAGTTTCAAAGAATATTTGGTCAGAAAAAATAAATTCGTGCAAGTTCATTTTGAGCAGTTACGTGGAGTTATGCATCCTAAAAGACTGTCAAATCTATATCCCTTCACAGAAGAATCGGAGAGCAGGTCTGGTGACTTGATTGGGCTCCTGTTGAGCGCAGCATTTCTCGACAGCCTTCAGCGTGAGGGACCTCAGACTGCAGAGCAGGAAGACAAGCAGCGAGCGAGAGATTAAACCGCCACTCTGCAGGATAGCTACAGGCTTAAGGCCGACACCAGCGGAAGGGAAGCCGGGTACCTCCAAAACCAGGCATTTATTTACTCACAGTGATTAGCTTGTCCAGACGATTCTGAGAGCCTTGAAATAAGACATTTGCTGCTATGGGCCATAGCTGAAGGGTGATATACAGACATATACAGCCAGCAATATCGTGATTATTTTAATGGCAGTACTGCAGTACGGGCGAAAAAAACATCCATAAAACAGCCAAACGCACACATTCCAGAAGATTAGAGGGCAGACAGTGGATAACAAATCTGTGTATTACAAATACTGGAAAAGGATTTTTTCTCCCTTGATTATCAATGCAAGGTCTGTGGGTAGTTATGAAGGAGCCATTACTGTCATATGTATGGTTAATGATGATGTCGTGCCATTAATGTGTCATTAGAGATAAGGGAGAAGACCATCCCAAGAGTTCTTTAGCCTTTTATTGCTGAAGTAGGTTTGCGTAGTTAGAATTAAATACAGCTTCTCATCATATGTTACCAGTGTTATACTCAAATAGCTACCGGGATCTGAGACGACCACTGACCTCTTTGACAGCAGTTCAGGGACGACCTCTGACCTCTTTGACAGCAGTTCACATTCATGACTTTGTGCCGCTGCTCATTAGCTGTTAGCTGCAGATGCTACGTGCCTGCCGTCCATTCGGAGGGAGTGCTGACCCAACACACGCCCCGTCTAGGCAACCAGCCGCACAACGAGCAGAATGTGACCGTCTGTGGTCCCGTAGCTTAACAGGGAGATGCCATGCAGCCAGACGTTCTGAAGTACACCTTCTACACGTGCATCACAGAGACGGAAAACATGATTCGAGCTTCTGTCCTGAGCAGAGGCCTGTTACCACAGACGGCTGTGTGTGAGAGGTTGATTTCTCCCAAGGAGGTTTGATCTTTGCACAATAGGGTGATTCTAAGTTTGTTAGTATTTAATTCAGCGATCTGCAGCATCTATTAATAGGAGAGAAAACCATCAAGGCCCTGGGATGTGAGTAATGACGTGCAAGCAAATTGTTTGTCAATAATGTGAAGAATTAGAAGAGGGCTGGGGATTCTTCAGACCCCAAGGAAGGATAACAGAGTGAATTTAAAAGCTTTTTATACATGAAACTCAATTTGTATGGGGTCTAAATTGCACTGGAAACAATTTCCCCAAAACACAAAGGAATAAATGAGTGAATAGGAAAACATTAACGCAATTCATTAGTTCACAAAATAATATTAACTTGTGATTAATGGTAGATGCTTTACACTTTGGATTTTATTGTATACACTGAGATTCATGGTGCCAAAGGAAATTGTCCACTGTAATAAAAATGTCCATTATTTTTTATAATAAAAACAGTTTCTAATAATATATATGGAAATCTCCAAGCATACATTAAGCTGCTGACTTGGCAGAACTTCATTTACAAGACAACGAATTCCAGTGGCATCTCTCAGCGTTATGAACATCTCTGCCATGCCACACCCATACGCAGGTGTATAACAGAGGCCCAAAGACAGAGAGGAAGTGTTTAAAGCTGCAACATTAATGACAACAAAGCTGCAACATTGCCGTCTGCTTCCCGGAGACGGAACCGGAGCAGGACAGACGCCGGAAGGCCAGCAAGGCAGATCCGTCCCTAGGGAGGAATGACGAACCTGCAATGTGATTTAGGTCTTTTTCCGAAACTGCTGTCCCACACCAGCAAACCCTTAACCTCCCAGCATCTACAAAGCTAGCTGACGAATATTGCGCAGCTAGCTTTGAGCACATGATTATGTGGACTCACACTTTATTTGCCCATTTAGCTGAACCTGTCTGGGGTTTGATTTCACATCTGCTACTGCCTATCACCAACCCGGAAATAAATCAGGACATAAAGGCTGGGAACTCTGTCAGTCAGCCAAACAGCAGTAGCCTAGATATGGAATATGAACCTAGCAATACTCACGGCTACAGTAAATGCAAAATAAGAGCATGGAGAATAATTGGTGTACAATGAGAAACTGGGTGGAAGATTCATTGTATGGTTATAATTATTTTTTTCCTCAAAGAAAAATATAATAGCTCAAATTATCCACTGTTCACGATATACAGCTAAATGTTGGGAGATTAAGTCAATAGTAATTGGGCAGACATTGTTTCCTACAATGGTGTGTTTTAACCTTTTCCTGTTTAAAGAGTTAATTTGAAACTTCAAGCGTAGCGATAATGAGAAGAACTGAATTGAGGGCAAGATGGAACCGAAGGCACTGCAAATGATTTCAAGAAATATGCAAAAAAATAAATAATGTTTATTAGGGAATGAGCTGTCATGATTATAGGCTGGAAAAAAGATTTATGAAGATATATATCTGGGAATTTAATTGTAATTGCATAAGATGTACCAGAAGTTGCATTGATTATGTAGCGATACACTGTGGTTATGGTCAGAAAGGGTGAGGCTGTATTTTCAAAAATGTAACTCTGGATTGTTCCTTTTAAAGGCATTACCACAGCACACCAACAAAGTGTGTTTTCTGCTTTAAGGAAACGTTTCTGCTGGACACCAAAGCTGACCGCAGGCCTGCAGGGGGCGACAAACGTGAGCAGAAATACCACAATCACTAGGATTTATTACCGACTTCAAATAGCCAATTTAAGGCAGGGGATTAAAGCGTGATCAATTAGATAGGGAAACAGACATCATGGATTATATCAATGGTTGACATTTATCTCGCCGAGTTAAATATTCTTAGCTTGTTAAAAAATACTTGTCTCAGTTCAAAAAGCATGTAATTTAAAGCCCTTTACATCGCACACAGGAACAACAGTACTCAGAATAGCTTTTCCAAATCAAAATAGGTGGAATTTCTGTATGCCGTCAGTCACTGTCTAGTTGAATCCAGTGGGAAATAACCAGTGGACCGTGGGCAGAACCTGCAGGTAATCATCAAGTAGAGAAAACCCCGCCTATTGGACATATTCAGAAAGCTCAGACATTTAAATCAGGCTTTCTGGTCTGTGTGGCATAAATACTCCACCTGGTGGAAAAAACTCATCATTACAACTAAGTATCCATTCAGGGGTTACATAACTCATACCATGGTCTTGCTTTGAAGCCAAAGGCAAAACTGTTGTAAAACTTTTAAGCGAAATGTGGGCTTTAATGTTCAACGACACACAATGAGTACAATGCTAAAAAAAATAAGAGACAGCATGTGTCAAAGCAACGTGTCGAGACAACCATATCAGGGAACATATTGTGAGCGACACGTTCAACACTTCAGGACTGGTAACAGAAATAAGCACTACGCATTGCACACTAACATCAAGCAAATACCAAATGGTAATAAGAAATACGCCAATAAGTCCTCAGATATTTTATAGCTATTATTGTGGAAGCACCGTTGTTGGATGGCAAGGAATTTCCTCATGTTAAATACCGAAAAAACTGAGGTTCTTTTAATCGGTC